TGTTGCGAACTCAGTTTGCTGGCGCTTGTAAGCGTATTTTGATGATTGGGGAAAACAAATATAAATCAGAAAAAATTAAGTCATTCAAATATTTATAGTAAAAGCAAATAATATATTTAAAATTACAAAAAAATTGTCATTCTTTTTGAAAATCAGTTTATTGTTATGGTTTTTTTCACAATCAATTTAGCGTTTTTTTACACGTTTAATTAACCTCAATTGAAAATGCAGATACAAATAGTTTGCATTGCTTTTGTTTTAGATTAATACGCTTTTGGTGGCTGTGTAATCTACATATTTTTATAGTTTGTATATATGTGTTAAAATATCTATCATACTAAAAATCCAGTTGACTTCAAGTTCATTTTAAAAGCAAAACAAAACAACATAAACAAGAAAATGTTAATATGCCTATACCTTTGCGTATTGTTGGTCAAGTGTAAGTCTATGTTTCTGTTGTTAGCAATTTCTGAAGGCTGTTAGGCACTTAAAAAAATACAAACAAATTATACACCATAGGCAACTGAAGAGATTGAGTGAGTGAGTCAAAGCTAAGAAAAACCAAAAAGAACATAATATAGGAAATCATATAATTAACACATTTATAATGAAAAGAAATAAGTCGGTTTAATTTTAATAACAACAGACAGTGCACATAAAAACAACAAAGAAAATAAAATACAGCATGTTGTATGGTTAGTAATACTGTCAAATATTGTTGAAAATTATAAAAAATGAAATGAAAACTATCAAAAAAAAAAGGACTGGGCTGGGCTTATCAATGCCATTTTTTATATCCCGTTTGGGAAAGTCAAGTGTCATGCCAATATTGCATCAAATTTCTAATTTTCTAAATGACAATCGAATTGTGGACTTAAATATTTCTTATTCCAAAATATATTTCTTCATATAGAAAATATTATTGAGTAACTTTCACAATATGAATTCTACTTTTAAACATTTAATTCTATATCAACTGAACGGATCAGAGGGTAAAAAGGTCGAGTTTAGAAGCATTTAATTGCAGATTGGTCAAGATCGAATCCGACGACGGCGGATGTTGTTCATTTTTGCGTACATACATTTTTATACCAATCCAGTGGGCATATATAATACATATATACATTCAAAAGTTTTCAACGGAGTGAAGGATACATTTCCGACCATTAATTAATTTTATGTATATCAGCTTCGGCTTGCTACTTTCTTGTTTTATTTCAAATGTTAAGAAAGCGAAACTAATTGAAAGACTAGACAACGCACTCAGTTGCTGATAACAAAATAATCTCAAAGAGATTTAAAATGTAATTATTTTTTTCCTCTGGTATGCCATAGCACATGGCGATTGGGTATTTCAGAATTTCAAAATTTAATTTATAGCTGATAAGAAATGATTCAGTTGTTTTTTGTGCCCCCAGTAGAATGGAGTCATCTTTCGCGTGGATTCCTTTATTCACCTTGTTTCTTGTTCACCAGGGTGTTTCCCAATTCCTAGAGGAGCCCTGTGGAATGGAAGTTCAAGACAGGATAATCGGAGGCGAAAACCCACGACCTGAATATGCTGCCTTTCTCGCAAGCATATATAGCACCAGGAGAGGATTTATGTGCAGTGGGACGCTAATTACCAGACGTTCGTGGTTTTTCTTAAAGATGTATACGTTGGCACGATAATATCATTCTTAATTTTGTAGGCTTTGTGTTAACTGTAGCTCATTGCTTGGATCTTGAACAGGATCTGTAAGTATTACCGAACTAGATGGTACCTTTTTATACCCTTGCAGAGGGTATTATAATTTTGGTCAAAAGTGTGCAACGCAGTGAAGGAGACATCTCCCACCCTGTAAAGTATATATATTCTTGATCAGGATCACCTCCTGAGTTGATATAGCCATGTCCGTCTGTCCGTCTGTCTGTTTCTACGCGAACTAGTCTCTCAGTTTTAAAGATATCGAATTGAAACTTTGCACACACCCTTTTTTTCTGTTGCACGCAGTATATAAGTCGGAACGGCCGGGATCGGCCGACTATATCCTATAGCTGCCATATAACTGATTGATCGGAAATGCCATAACTCTGCTGTTTGTAAAATTAGGAAGTTGGGACTCTCTATGGGTATTATATTTGGCCAATCAATCCGACGTACCAAATTTTATAAGGATCGGCCGACTATATCCTATAGCTGCCATATAACTGATTGATCGGAAATGCCATAACTCTGCTGTTTGTTAAATTAGGAAGTTGGGACTCTCTATGGGTATTATATTTGGCCAATCAATCCGACGTACCAAATTTCATAAGGATCGGCCGACTATATCCTATAGCTGCTATATAACTGATTGATCGGAAATGCCATAACTTTGGTGTTTGTAAAGTTAGGAAGTTGGGATTTTCTATGGGTTTTATATTTGGCCAATGAATCCGACCTACCAAATTTTATAAGGATCGGCCGACTATATCTTATAGCTGCCATATAACTGATTGATCGGAAATGCCATAACTTTAGTGTTTGTTAAGTTAGGAAGTTGGGATTTTCTATGGGTTTTATTTTTGCCCAATCAATCCGACATATCAAATTTCATAAGGATCGGCCGACTATATTCTATAGCTGCCATATACATAACTGAACGATTGGAAATGCCATAACTTTGGTGTTTTTAAAGTTGGGAAGTTGGGATTTTTTATGAGTATTAAGAATACATCATATGAATAATTTTGGAGAATATAATTTGAAGAATATTCTTCGGCTCCGCCCGAAGTTAGCTTTCCTTTCTTGTTTGATGTTTAAATGTCGATTTCGATTTTTCAATTGAAAATATGCAATGGTGGTAATTTTATTAATATTTAATTATATTAATTACAGATTTGTGGGATTGGGAGCATACAATAAGACTGATCCCCAAGAAAGGTACTCGGTCAGTCATCAGATACGCCACCCTCAATACAGAAACAGGTATGAGCCGTATGATATAGGCCTGCTTAAACTGTCAGCCATGGTCATGTATAATTGTAAGTAAGTTGTTTTGACGTATTTCGCCAAACTTTTTAATGCTTTTCTCCGCAGTAAACATTAGACCAATCTGCATTTTTACGAATAAGGCAATTAAGAAAAAAGTAGAAGAGTTGAATACGTTCGAAGCCTTTGGCTGGGGCCTAAAAAAAGATTTAAAGGACAGTGAAATTCTTCAAACTATCACTCTTAACCAGTTGGATAAGGATGAATGCAGAGAAGTGGCTTTTCAAGATCTCTTATCGTCTCAGATCTGTGCTGGATCCCCAAATGATGACACCTGTATGGGAGATTCAGGCGGTCCGTTGATCAACAAGCTTCAAATAAACAACCAAATTCGTACAACTCAGCTCGGTATCGCAAGCTTTGGGACAACAATATGCGATTCAGTAGCAGTCTATACGGATGTGACTACCTTTGTAGATTGGATTCAGGAAACAATAAATAGCTCTGATGATCAACAAAGTGGCCAAGAATGAGAAAGCTAATAATATACCTGCGAGTCCCAACCTATGTACACATCAACTCGGGGTTAAGTTCGACCAAAATCAGTTTTGTGTGGAAAGTCCTCACGAAAAAACCAGTGGGGATTTCCCCACTGTCTTCATGACAACCATCATGAAGAATCGCCATTATATCATTTTGTTTTCACGTTTTCACAAATATTATCAAACATACAAAATGGATTTGGGATATTATTGTCAAAGATCAAAAAAAGCGATATCCCAGGAAAGGTTTCCTCACATTCCCTTATATTAAAAAAAAGAATTTAATTAAACACCTTTAGTTCTGAAAAGATTTTTGGTGAATGTTTGTTAAATAAAATAAAATTATATTTTGATCAGCAAATTTTACATTGCATTGGATTACTTTATTTTTCAAAGTTGTAATGGGCATTCTGCACAACAATAACTGGTATTCTGGAGTCGGGAGTCTCATCATCAGCAATTCATCTGTGGGATCTATTTTGCTCATCCCACACTCCAGTCGCCCTCGAATGGCCTGGAAAAGTCCGGAGAGTTGCACGGCATCGTCTTGATCCATTGTACTCTTTACGGGGTTACTCCTGTCGTTAAGAATCACTACATCTTGAACATTTTTCCTTGATTTGACCTCTCTGAATGCTTTTCCCACATACATTTGTATACCAATTCAGTGAGTATATATAATCCCAGTGAAAAAGTTTCGACCAATAATTCATTTTTGGAATAGTTGCAGGGGTATATACATACATATGTTATGTATATGAGCTTTGGCTTGCCGAAATTTGCTACTTTCTTGTTTTATTTCGAATCTTTAGAAAGAGAAACTAATTAAAAGACTAGACAACGCACTCAGTTGATGATAACAAAATAATCTCAAAGAGATTTAAAATGTAAGCAATAGAATGTATTTCAGAAAAATTAAAATTAAAGCTGATAAGAAGTGATCTGTGTTATTTAGATTTAGTGGTGTTTCAGTTGTGTTTTGTGCCCTCAGTAGAATGGAGTCATCTTTCGCGTGGATTCCTTTATTCACCTTGTTTCTTGTCCACCAGGGTGTTTCCCAATTCCTAGAGGAGCCCTGTGGAATTGAAGTTCAAGACAGGATAATCGGAGGCGAAAACCCACGACCTGAATATGCTGCCTTTCACGCAGGCATATATAGCACCAGGAGAGGATTTCTGTGCAGTGGGACGCTAATTACCAGACGTTCGTGGTTTTTGTAAAAGATGTATACGTTTGCACGATAATATCATTCTTACTCTTGTAGGCTTTGTGTTAACTGCAGCTCATTGCTTGGATCTTGAACAGGATCTGTAAGTATTATCGAACTAGTTGGTAATATAGTACCATTTTTGATGTTTAAATGTCGCTTTTGCATCTAGTCAATTGAAAATATGCAATGGTGGGGATTTTATTAATATTTAATTATATTAATTACAGATTTGTGGGATTGGGATCATTCAATAAGACTGATATCCGAGAAAGGTACTCTGTCAGTCAACAGATACAGCACCCTCAATACAGAATCGGGTTTTTGCCGTATGATATAGGCCTCCTTAAATTGTCACCCATGGTCGTGTATAATTGTAAGTAAGCTGTTTGACGTATTTCGCCAAACTTTTTAATGCTTTTCTCCGCAGTAAACGTTATACCAATCTGCATTTACACGAATAAGGCAATTAAGAAAAGCGTGGAAATGTTGAGAAGGTTCGATGCCCTTGGCTGGGGCCTAAAAAAACATGTTAAGGATAGTGAAATTCTTCAAACTATCACTCTTAACCAGTTGGATAAGGATGAATGCAGAGAATTGGCTTTTCAAGATCTCTTATCGTCTCAGATCTGTGCTGGATCCCCAAATGATGACACCTGGGTGGGAGATTCTGGCGGTCCGTTGATCAACAAGCTTCAAATAAACAACCAAATTCGTACAACCCAGCTCGGTATCGTTAGCTTTGGGAGATGCGATTTATCAGTCTATACGGATGTGACTAGCTTTGTAGATTGGATTCAGGAAACAATAAATAGCTCTGAAGATCAACAAAGTGGACAAGAATAAGAAAGCTAATAATATACCTGCGCATCCCAACCTATGTAAACATCAACTCGGGGTTAAGTTCGACCAAAATAAGTTTTGTGTGGAAATATGCGTTTTTAAAAAAATAAAATTATATTATTTGATCAGCAAATTTTACATTGCATTGGATTACTTTATTTTTCAAAGTTGTCATGGGCATTCTGCACAACAATAACTGGTATTCTGGAGTCGGGAGTCTCATCATCAGCAATTCATCTGTGGGATATATTTTGCTCATCCCACACTCCAGTCGTCCTCGAATGGCCTGGAAAAGTCCGGCGAGTTGCACGGCATCGTCTTGATCCATTGTACTCTTTACGGGGTTACTCCTGTCGTTAAGAATCACTACATCTTGAACATTTTTCCTTGATTTGACCTCTCTGAATGCTTTTCCCACATACATTTTTATACCAATTCAGTGGGTATATATATATGTATATATCCCAGTCAAAAGTTTCCGACCAATAATTCATTTTTGCAATAGCAGCAGGGGTATATACATACATATGTTATGTATATGAGCTTTGGCTTGCCGAAATTTGCTACTTTCTTGTTTTATTTCGAATGTTAAGAAAGCGAATCTAATTAAAAGACTAGACAACGCACTCAGTTGATGATAACAAAATAATCTCAAAGAGATTTAAAATGTAAGCAATAGAATTATGTTTGGGTATTTCAGAAAAATTAAAATTAAAGCTGATAAGAAGTGATCTGTGTTATTTAGATTTAGTGGTGTTTCAGTTGTGTTTTGTGCCCTCAGTAGAATGGAGTCATCTTTCGCGTGGATTCCTTTGTTAACCTTATTTCTTGTCCACCAGGGTGTTTCCCAATTTCTAGAGGAGCCCTGTGGAATGGAAGTTCAAGACAGGATAATCAGAGGCGAAAACCCACGACCTGAATCTGCTTCCTTTCACGCAGGCATATATAGCACCAGGAGAGGATTTCTGTGCAGTGGGACGCTAATTACCAGACGTTCGTGGTTTTTGTTAAAGATGTATACGTTGGCACGATAATATCATTCTTACTTTTGTAGGCTTTGTGTTAACTGCAGCTCATTGCTTGGGTCTTGAACAAGATCTGTAAGTATTACCGAACTAGATGGTACCTTTTTTGATGTTTAAATGTCGATTTTGCATCCATTGAAAATATGCAATGGTGGTAATTTTATTAATATTAAATTATATTAATTACAGATTTGTGGGATTGGGAGCATACAATAAGACTGATCCCCGAGAAACGTACCCTGTCAGTCAACAGATACAGCACCCTCAATACAGAAACGGTTTTTTGCCGTATGATATAGGCCTGCTTAAACTGTCAGCCATGGTCATGTATAATTGTAAGTAAGCTTACTTATTGACGTATTTCGCCAAAACTTTTTAATGCTTTTCTCCGCAGTCAACGTTAAACCAATCTGCATTTTTACGAATAAGGCCATTAAGAAAAGCGTAGAAAGGTTAATATCGTTCGAAGCCTTTGGCTGGGGCCTAAAAAAAGATTTAAAGGATAGTGAAATTCTTCAAACTATCACTCTTAACCAATTAGAGAAGGATAAATGCAGAGAAGTGGTTTTTCAAGATCTCTTATCCTCTGAGATCTGTGCTGGATCCCCAAATGATAACACCTGTAAGGGAGATTCTGGCGGTCCGTTGATCAACAAGCTTCAAATATACAACCAAATTCGTACAACCCAGCTCGGTATCGTTAGCTTTGGGAGATGCGATTTATCAGTCTATACGGATGTGACTAGCTTTGTAGATTGGATTCAGGAAACAATAAATAGCTCTGAAGATCAACAAAGTGGACAAGAATAAGAAAGCTAATAATATACCTGCGCATCCCAACCTATGTAAACATCAACTCGGGGTTAAGCTCGACCAAAAAAAGTTTTGTGTGGAAATATGCGTTTTTAAAAAATAAAATTATATTTTGATCAGCAAATTTTACATTGCATTACTTTATTTTTCAAAGTTGTCATGGGCATTCTGCACAACAATAACTGTTATTCTGGAGTCGGGAACCAGAATAACTTCATTCGTTTTTGTGCGCACTCTCATCATCAGCAATTCATTTGTGGGATCTATTTCATCCTCGAATGGCCTGGAAATGTCAGGCGAGTTGCACGGCATCGCCTTGATCCATTGTACTCTTTGATTTTGGTAAAATTTGGTTATATTTCCCTTTTGAAAATAGTCCTTGATAACTAGGCTTTGATTGTTCTTTTATGCTCTTTGACCCAATTCTATTGTTTTTTGGTTTCCAAGGCAAACTTTTACGGTAAGTTTAGCGATATGGGTCAATATGTCATTTAAGAATTTTGCATTAATTAATTTGTTTATGGTATTTACATTTTTTTGTTGGCTTGTTTTTTTTATTTTTTTTCTGAATGCAACACAATTAGAGAATATTGCATTTAAATTTTAGATTGATCCTAGTAAAACTTCCGAAGTTATGGGCAGTTGAACGTAAGTGAGTTTTGTATGCAATTTTTGGGTATCCAAAACTTTAAAACGCTCTTCTGAAAAGTTGCCATTTCAAAGTCGGTGAACACGATCCTGCTAAATCTACTAGACGAATCGTTTTGAAATTTTGCACATAATTTCTGTTCCTAAATCCTCAGGTACTGACGTTGAGTTTTTTTTAAATTATTATTTTTCATTTTATAATAATTAATATATCGAATTGTTAGGCTAACATAATGTTTTTGACTTCAAAGTGTTACCAAAAATACAAAAAATGAATAAAAAATTAAGCTCAACTTAGTTACCTTTAGAAAGATCTTAACTAATAATCAATATTTTTTTTTTGTTTTTTGTGATGATCCACTAACGAGTTATGCTATTAACCGCAAAACCTTTTTTCTTTGAGGCGTCTACGGATCTTGGCAGCGAACGGCTCATTTATTTATTTTTTTCAATGAAAATTTGTGAAAACCTAATTTAAATGTTGTACATTAATATGCTTATAAAACAATTGATTTGACATTAACCCTATCATGTGAAAAAATGCATGAAAATAGGCCTTTTTTTTGGCCGAATTAACCATACCCCCTTAAAAAAGTGACGGTCCATCTCTAATATTGAGCCAACAAACTTTACTTCGGTTAGTGGCTTAACCCAGTAGCAGCAACATCAACAGCAGCAACCAGCAACTAAAAGAAACCCACCAGCAACTAGCAACACCTTCACCAACAATTCGCAGTCGATTGCCGTCGACTACTTAGCATAAAATGTGTGTCAGCAAGGTAAAGGGCGTTCGTCAGTACCCGTCACCGATCCGTAATCCCCGATCCCCGATCCCCAATCCCCGATCCACGTAACACCCCCTGTCCCCAGCTTAACCCCACAATGATGGTCCCACGCTGACTTCGCGCTGTAAAAATTTGAATACCTAAATAGGCTTGCTGGCCTATTTCTCTCTGTTTTTTGTTTTGTTGCTTTAACGCATGCGAAATTGGGTTTTTATTTTGTTTTCGTATTGAAATTTTGCGAGTGGCTTACAACAATGTTGTTGGTGGTATTGTTATTGGTTGAGTGGCTTTGGTACGATGTTGACCTTGAAAAGAGGTTAGTTTATCGTTGTTGCTGTCCCTGTTAACTTGACAAAAAACGTACAGCTTAATATACAGTTTGCATATTAAAATCGTATATGTCTTTTACGCAGTCTACTGAGAAATGTGCTAGAATGTATGAATTATGAAATACCTATTTGTACTTAAAAAGTGAATACAACTTCTTTCCAATAATTCTTATTTGTTTTACCTGGCAATATTTAACGGATTTTAAAGGGCTTAAGACAAGTAAGCAATTCTGAGATAAATCAACATCCTATGGTATTTATGGTCTACAAAAGTTTATTCCCAGTTAAGCGCTGCATATGTAACAGAGTATTGAATAAATCCCAACCAAAATTGTTGCTGTCAAGCAAAAATGATTCCCTTGACGAAATAGAGTCCCCTGTGTCAGTCGAGAGTGAGAAATGGGTAAGAAAACTTCCAGTTGAAACAAAAACATTTACGGAGCAACAGCGACAACTCATTCCTCAGCAGGTTGTTAGCTGCACAGAAAAAAATATCTCAAGATATATTTTTTAAAGCAAATTCTATTTTGAGAGTCAGACTTATATTTTAATGGAAAAACACTAAAAATAGATGAAATTTAAAAATTATATATTTATCTTAAATCGGGAATAATAATATTTAATATATAATTTTTTTCTGTGTTCCATACACTTGTCAGGTTTTGCTGCAGCAATGACACAGGCCACTTGCCACTTGGCGCCACTCCACTGCTACCCTTAAAAGTTGCCACAACTTGATGCAGATGAAGCCGCGAATGATGATGATGATGATGACGACTGCGGAAAGTTGTGGCTTTGTTTTGTCTTGGCTGTGATTTGATTTGCCCACGACTTTGCAGACTTAGCCACAACTTGTTCGCATGTAAGTTGCCGCTTCGGTGGCATTTCTCCGCGGCTTGTAAGTGACTAAGCGAAGCGCACAATTTTTATTGGCTTGACTGACTCATGGCCGGGACCCGGGAACTAAGATCACCTCTCCATCTGGTGTTCGTGGATTCTGGCATGAGTCAATTAATTTATATGCCACAATGTCCAGACCAGTGCACAACACGCCCCGTCTGATTCGGAATTTAATTCGGAGTTGGGGTCCCATCCTGAAGCAGATCCCCTTGAAAATCCCTTGAGCACAAAAGCTTTAAGTTGACATCACCGAAGATTAGGAAAAGTGATCGGGGCATCTGTATTTATTCTTTATACACTTTAAAAGTTATTGGTAACAAATAAAAGACCCTGGTAAGACTATAATGATTTTTGAAATATTCTTTGAATTTATAAATCCAATATTTGAAAACTGAAAAACTAAAATTAGAGAAATAAACGTTCATGGTTTAGATTTATATTGGTATTATAATGTTTTCATTAAAGAGGAATACATTTTTTCTCCCTGTACTTACAGAAAAAAAACATTTATTTTATATATAATTTAAATATAAATATAAAAAGGTTTTAAGTATATTTAAA